ATTTGTAACATAGAAGATTTTTTTAAAAAAAAAGATGGCTGGGGGTGGAGGGGAGAGCTCAAGGGATAATAGTTTGACCAGCAAAAATTGTTACAAATAATCTGGTACCCATCTAGCAATGGTGTAGTGTGTATGCAGGGATATCTAGAACTGAATGCTGACAACATATTCTGCCCTTCTCATTCAATTGGCCGTTCTCCAGTTGTAGAACATCTTAAGAGTGAAAAGAGACACAACCGAATACCATACATTTGTGCCAGAGACTTTTCTTAAGTTTATAGTTTGAGATCTGCAAATCTCAGTTTAATCAAAAAGTTTTTAGAATGGTGGTGGTACTTCTCTGGGGATATTGTGCAGGACAGCTTCCATGACCTACTTAAGAGCTATCATGGAAGATCATGTCCAAGAATTTAACTCATTTTTCTCTTAGGTCTTCTGGCAAAATCCTTCTGGCAGGATTTTGGTACTATGATGGTTTGTGTCCAAAGGATCGTCCCTGCAAAATTGAACCAGAGCTACCAGTGCTCCTCTGTCTGCTTAAAGTTGAAAGGAGATGCGTTCAGAAAGTTAAATCTAAGTGATCCACCATAACATTTATGGGGGAAAAAATGAACAGGAACTGGCCAAGCCATAGTCCTTCCACGTTAGAACTCTGCTTTATAAATGACTTTGGCAGCAGAATTTTCTGTACAGATTGAACTGAAAATTTATCAGTTGAATCAAGACAAAATTTTAATTTATTAAAGAAATTTATATGGCTTCCCAACTAATGATAACTCTGGATGGCTTATAGAAATAAAACAAATATGAAACTCAATACACCTCTGCTCCCCAAGTTTTAATTTATTTTATAGATTTTGTAAGAAAAAATCAAGCCTCAATGAATGTCAAAGAATCATGGTGGATTAAACCAAAGTCCTAACCAGTTCATCTTTTCTTCCCTTAAGACCGATTCCTCAGAGGACATCAGCAAGATATCATGCTCACCTTCTGGTAATTTGGAAAAATGTTCCATTCCTCTATTAATTCGGGTAATCCCATTTTCAAATTTATCACCATTGCAACTGATAATCAATTCTACTTTCTGAATATGTTCT